AGATAGATAGATAGATAGATAGATAGATAGATAGATAGATAGATAGAGGCAGAGAAAGAAAAAAGAACTGTAAAAATCTATGTAAGAAATGAGTCACGTCTCTCTCCATTTCCTACTTTGGTCCAGGTTTTAGGTACTTCTACTTATGTACTGGCCGCCTCTAGCTTAACCTCCTCCTGCTTGGCAAAGACAGAAATCAGCCTTTCTCCTCCCTGCTTGCTCCACATGTAGTGACCTTATTTCTGGGGTTTTTTTTATTATCAAATCCTAAATTAGTTCAGTTTTCAGCCTCTCAGTCAAAGGAAACTAAAATTGGCTCCTCTGGGCTGGGAGTAAGTAGAACACATGTATTTCTATCAAAGTAATAATGTGTGGGTAGAAGCCTCTGCCACACCTGGCCCTCTGACATATCTGCAGATACCTCTAATGGCTCCCATACAGTTTCTATCACAAGGCCACTGTGCAAGCAGACGAACAGAAGGGCTATCTCAGACAGACAGACAAAGCACAGTAGCACTCAGTCACAAAAACACACATGCCAGATATATATATGATTGATTTACTCCACAGAAAGTGCTATATGATCAAAAACCCTCTATGTCTGGGACTAAATTTCTGGAAAATATGAATATAGTGCTTATGTATTCATTTACATCTTGGATAAATACTCCTCCCAAATATTCATTTACATTTTTGGCATGATAATAAATGGTGACAGAATAGAGGGAACCTGTTTTTTGTTTGCTTTGAAATAGGTAGAATAGAGTCCTGGAAGGTATCACAAACCCAAAGGTTTTAAAAGACATAGTCTAACAAAGTAAACTGAGTTCCACGTTTATTCTGGATAAGTGTAAGGCCAGCAATTGATGGTAGACTTCAGAGTGAATGATTTTGTGGGCATGTATCCCTTAGGACAAATCTTTGCTTCCTGTTATGGAGATGATAAAATATTCTATCATAGGAATAAGAACTCTTCCAACTTAATGTAATCAATCCAAGCCACTTCTGATAGTGATCTGTATTTTTGATGATATTACTTTGTTTGGATACCATGAGCTTGCAGTTGAGAATAGAACAGGAAACAGCATTAGGAAACAACTTCCCTCAAACATTTCCATATTCATTAACATATGCAAAGCCATCTCTTGAAGACCTAGAGATCAGAAGAGCTAGTGTTGATTGCTTACAATTCCAAAATGATCCCAGGGCACATGTTGTTTAAGTTAAGCAGATCACTGCTTCGAGAGGGGACCACAGAGAGATCCTATATTGACCATGCTGAATTCCATCAAAGAATTGTCAAATATGCTTAAAAACTCTAAAAGAAAATTTCCAAATTGTAGGAAATGAAAAAGACCCAGCTTCAGGAACTTTTCGCTGACACTGGAATTTAGAGATACTAGTCTGATAACTGGTCTGGTGGGAAGGACAGGCAGTAGGGAAAGTTTTATTGGGTCACTGACAAACGTGTTGGGCTCCATGGGTCATGGGAAGAGCCATAATGTAATCGTGCAAGTCATAGCAGTGGCAAGGTGAGCTTAGCTATGGTGTCAATAGTAGCTTTGTTAGCTCTGATGTCTCCAAGCTTACAAACCCTTAATTTAGCAAAGCATATTTCATTCTCAGCAGACTAATGAAATATAATCATTTTAAAAATGACGATTGGCAGCCTAGAAATATCCATGATAAAATCATTATCCTATTATTTCATACAGCATGAGATTTGTATGCTGTTTCCATCAAAGCAGCACATGCTGATATGGAAACTGCCTTTGCCACAGAATGTGCCTTTGCTTCAGGGGTGGGAACTGCATAGCACAAGATAGACTGTACCAAAGCTCCTTCATTGTGTGCAACTTTCTCCATGTATAACTGTTAGTAATTTGCACTTCAGGTTTTTATGGGGTTCTGAGGAAAAGATTCTGGAGTGGGCATCCCTTTCTAGCAAGACCTTTATTATTGCCTGTTCTCTTTTCTACTATTTTGATCATTCTTCTTGGACCCAATCTGTATTGTCATACATACAGTAAGTGAAGGCCGCTGCTCTTATATCCCTTTACCTAACCAGACACGTAAACAAGCAAAGGCATAAGAGGAGGAACAGAGTCTGACAATACCAAAATTGCTTGTAAGATGTTGACCATCAAAAGTGTCTGGTAAATACAAGTTATCTTAATGATTCCATAAAAGAAGCCTTACTAAGAGAAGATTAGCCATTAGGGCCTTAGGTTTATATTTAACACTGGAATTCAGTCAGACTCAGCTTCCATTGTTTTTTCCTTCCTTGTTGGACACTTAAAAAAATATAATGAAAATAAGCAAGTAAATGCGATAAAATTATGGATAACTGAGGTATTTTCTTGTCCCTCAATTCTTTTTCCAGTTTAGTTACAAGAATTTTACTTATCATCAAATGTACAACCCCTATTCCAGGTCATCAGTCTTTGGCCAATGACTAAGAAGATAATGCAATAACAGATTTCACAGAGAAATTCCTTAGAGGGAGTTCCTTAGGGAATATCTGATACAAAAAGTGCTTTACTAGTCAGTTGTTCCTTCCCTTCTACAACAGTTCACCAGTTTTGAGATATTGCAATGTGATTCTCTTGCAAAAGAGTAAACAATGAAAGCTGGATTCAAGTTAGATTTAGAAATGATGGATTACATGAACACATTTTTTTTTTTTGCTCAAGGTACTGAATGCTTTTGTGACTGCAGAAGGATGGGAATAAATCACATGACTAAAGAGTATATTCTAGAATTATGCTGTGTCTCACAGTATATTTACTGTGAAGGACCCAGCAATATAGCCATTGATGAAAAAGCTGTGGTCAATGGAAAGACTTTTAGATTGACCCAACTGGAGACCAGCTTTTACATGCTTATCTATGTGCAATCTATCTCAAAGCATTAAAAAGTAAAAAAGCTCTTCTCTCAAGCCTTTAACTCACCCCTCTTTTTTTTTTGAAGAACACAACCATCTCCCTCAAGATTTATTTATCCCCACCACACTGTGACTATTCTGTTGTAGTGTCATTATGACAGCCCTCATATTTTTCGGTGCTTGTCTGGACTTCAGCAGAAAGATCATTATGGGATTTGGGCCCGTTTATCTTCCATGCTCCTAGCTGCAATGCCTTTGGGGCCAGCAGGCCAGGTCATGCCAGGCCTGGGATGCACTCTCACTCACTTGGATAAGCTGAGCTTCCCTGCTGCTAGGTGGCTCTGCACCATTTGCCATCGGCCTCTCCCCGCCTTCCCAATGCTGGGTTCGCTGTGGGCAGACACGCTGCTCTTCATGCCGTCCTCTCGGAGCTGCTGCCTCTCTCCGTGGCATCCTTCTCGCTCTCCTGCCAACCCAGCTGTGGCTGAGGCAGCCAACTTTGCACCTGACAGCAATGAGCCACTATGGTATGTCAGGAAAGAGAGGTGGCAGGTGGCAATGAGAAGGAGGTCACATGAAGAAGAGGAGAACAGAGAGAAAGAGAGAGAGAACGAGAAAAGAGAGACAGACAAGGGACAGACAGACAGACAGAGAGAAAGAGAGAGATCAGCACTGCAAAAGAAAGGGCCAAGGAGAGCCTTTGTCCCAGTCAAAGGCAGCAGGCAGCCCTGGCTTGTGAAGTTATGATTGCAGCCAAAGTTAATTCCATAGACAACGAAGGGTTGAATAATGGATAAGACTGTTAGGAGAGGCACTGTGCAGGCGAAGGGAGAAAAAAAGCAATGTTAGTGAGAGAGCTTACCACTACCATCACCACCACCACAAAGTGCAGATGCAGAGAATACGCTGAGAGGGTGACCAAAACGGGCAACCCCATCCTGTGCTGCAGAAAAGGAGTGGGTGGGTGAGGGAGAGGAGAGCCGAAGGAACCAGGGTACAGGGAGGGATGATGCTGGCCTTTCTCAGTGAGTTGCTAGGCAGTGGTTCTCAAACCACTGGAAGCACCATATAAGCCTAGCAGGGGAAAAGCCTGGGCTAAGACCTTAAGTAAAAAAGGAATGCAATGGCTTTTGAAGTGGTTTTAAGGGTTTAAGTTGCTATCCAGTGCCAACCCTTTCAGTTGGCTGAAATCATAATGAATTTATTAGGTCCAAACCACCTTTTAAATTCGCTGTATGATTGACTACTTCAAACTTTAATGAGTCAATGACTTAATCTGGTTTCAACAAACCTATCAGCACAGTATTTTCCATTTCACTGGGACTAAAATTTGAGCCCCAGGTAATAGAGTTCCTGGAGTAATGGAAACACAAGCCTGATATTCCAAGGGTACCAACCAGTAGTTGTGAACCACTGAAAGAGCAGGGTAGAAAGAGAAGGGAGGAGGGGTTGCTCGTCTCCATGGCCATATGTCCATGGGGAGGGAGTAGAGTGCAGGGGAGGGAAAGAAGAGGAGGGGGAAGAGGAAAGCAGGAAGGGGTGGGTGGGAAAGAGGTGTGCATATACTCACTATGTATGATCAAATCAGTTAAAGAGAGACTCACTTGAGGGAAAGTCGTGGATCACCATATGGGGCGTAAGGTGATATGTTTAGTATAAACTCCTTGGGAGGGTAGGAACTCCATTTCTGCTGCACTGTGTTGTCATTGTTATTCCAAAAGTCTCTGTCTAGATCACTAGATCAGCCGGTGAGAGGGGAGAAAAAAAAAACAAAGGGAAATACAAGAGAGAGAATCTAAATTCCTGCAAGGGGAGGAAGGAGAAAAAAAAAATAACCCAAATGAGAGACAGCAAGGTTAGTGTTGACTTCTCCTCCTGTGGAAGGTAAAGCTCTGTGCCTCATACCCATGTGTTCACACAAACACACATACGCACTCAGATGATATATAGGTTAAGGCAAAGCTGAAAAAAGATAGGAGCAGGCATCTCCAGAGCTGATGTTAAGGGAGAACGAGAAAGAGAGAGAGGGATTCGTGTTAAAGAAACCTCTGTTAAATGACTCTAAGACTCTTTCCTCAGGACTCTACCTTGTCTCTTACCTGTACTGTTCCTTTTGGGGGACAGGATTTTTGCCTTCCTGTATTTTTTTCATCCAAAGTGGGTAGTGTGGAAAACAAAGCAGTATCTTGGACAATAACTTTTGATAAAATAGTGGGAACATCAGCTAAAACTATTGCTGTTGTGCAGAGAAAGAATCTTTTCCGGTTTCCTGTACAGAATTTGTGCATCAAACTGGAGAAAAGCACCTCTTTACCCAATTATTATTATCCAAAAGAAAATTATCTTTAGGTAGCTATTTAGATTTCTTTCATCAGATGTATAATAAAGTGATGGTGGGAAAACAGCATCAAGGTTATGGAGGAATCTTAGTCAATGCTCAATTGTCATACTGAATCTAGGGTTACTTCTACAAATGGGCTTTGCAGCAGCTGAATCTGTTCTGAACCTAATTAATTTATTGATAATGGTGATGTTCCAGACCCATTTGCATGTACAGTACCTGAATTTGCAGCCAAACTAGTATTTTTACCTGGACTGCCACAGCTTTGCATTGACTCCATTCTTCTATTGACATTCTTCTATTCTCTTTCCTCAACCATTCTCCTGGTTTATGTCTCTAATAACGTTCAAATAAGTTCAGAATCTTCAGTGTTGCTCATCGCCATTTTAAGTTGGTAAGCACAAACACAACTGTGGGTTGGCTTCAAATTGTTTCTGAAGGAATGGGGAGGGGCAATAGTGGTCCCTTGAATGGGAAAAAAACCTTAATTGAAGCAAGAGCTGGCTTGGAGTGTTCTTCCTGACCTTGTCATTACTGCTTTGGAACATGGGAAGTGATAAAACTTTAGATGCTTGTCCTCAAGAAGAGGCCTACTCAGCCTGAGGGACCTGGCATTTCCTTGTGTAGATCTTCTGCTCAGCTGTGCAGAAGGGGCCAAGGAGGGTGATCAGCCTCAGGCTGGAGTTTGTGGGCTCACAGTGCTTGCTAAGTAGGTTATATCACCCATTCTGTAAACAGCTAGAGCCTAACCAACCATCTCCTCCTGAATTTAAGAGTGCCTCCAATGGCAATTGAGTCACAACATATAAGATTTCACAATAGCTTTTGAAGTCAAGGGGCTGTCTAACAAATTTATTAGAGACATCAAAGGTACCTTGCAGGCTACCTGCTTGCATCCACTTATCTTACCACTCACCTAGTGTCCTTGCCATTTGCAGGATTTAAAAGCCTTTCAATGGCTTTTTGAGACATGTATAGAGGGAAGATGAAAAGCTTGCTGCTATAAAGGACAGCTGAGGTTCATCAAGGAACTCAAGGTTCATCCACAAGATACCAAAAATGGGCGGGAAAAGTGAAAAGTGTTGCAAAAAAGTAGACAAACGAACCTCTTCATTATGCCTGCCTGCCTGTTTCCTTCGTCGTGCCTTTGGGCCAGAGTTTTTGTAGAACCTTTTCAATATGGGACTAAGAAATGAACATTTTGCAGCTGCAGAGTGTAAAAAGAGAGTTTCTATTCATATCTGTAACTATTTACTGGCAGGTCCCTGGGAAGAAAGGTCTTAGGGTTATTGTTTGTAGTGGCTTTGTTCTACCCTCAGCATAATTATCCACGACCTCCAGATAAGTTATAGAGATCAAAAGCACAAGGGAAATAATGATCAGGTTCACACATTTATCATGGCCTTGGAGCATGGCATCCATTGTTCTGATTTAGTTGAAGGATTGGCTAATAGTGTCACCTAGAACCATAAGCTACTGATGAGACCATGCATCCAGGAATTAACAAACAACATCTGTATATATGAACACATATCTTCAACATACATATATACATATTTTTCACACACAAACACATAAATAGCTATATATTATACACAATTATATATATATATATATATGCACAGTTACATATAAAGGCATGCACAAACATGAATGCACACAGAGGGACAGAAATTTTATCAACTGATTTTATCAACTCATCTGAAGATGTACAGGCAGAATTGCAGGTGTCCATACTTTTTAAGGTAACACTTCTTTTACTAAATCACCATAGCTCCAGGGCCAATAAGCAAGGTTCCTTCATCCAGCTTTTTCATTGAACGTCATCAAGCAAATCTCAAAACTCTGCAGTGCTCTTTAGTGTAGAAAATTAGATTTGGGAATCCCATAGGCAGATGTCAGAGGAGAACCGTGGGAAAGCTTGTGTGATTATATTAGAAGGTGAAACAGCTATTTTATGGAAATTATTACTTAATCATGCTTTCCATGTATCATTTTTAACAATTCCTGGAGATGAGATTATATTCAATCCCACTTACAAGGGAGCCTAGATATCAAAAATTTGAATTATGGGACCATGACAGAGAAACATTATTTCACTGTGATGTGTTGCTATGTGCAATGATCATAAAAATTTAACTCACCTTAAAATATCCTTGCAATATGAAGTAAAAGAAATGGGTGAATGATGATCCATTGTCAGCTGAGTTATGTGTAGAATTATATTGCTCTATCAAGGAAATAACTTCTAATATCCCACTGTTTGGTGCAATAGTATCACATTCCAGAAAAAGATTAGTTACTATTAATGTGTCCTTATTTTGTTTTCATAAGCAAGGTCTAAAGGATAGGTTTGATTCTTTTCTGTGTAACTAAACCTTGTACGTCTAAATCACTTATTACAGAGGCTTCTATATAAACATCTATGTTTATATAATAATCTTCTCTATTCCTCTGGATGCTAACTTTGATATTACAGCTGGCCATGAGATTAAGTCCTATTGCAGGGATGGGAACATATGGTCCAGATGTTGCTCAACTGCAATTTTTAGCACCCTTCCCTATCAGCCATGTTCTTGGGGCTGCTTGGAGTTCTAGTCTATTAAATCTGGAGGACCATAAACTGATAACATCAATGGACTGCTCTTCCAGGTACAGAATTTATCATTTGTCAAAAGATGGAAGAAACATTAATCTTTTCAACTGACCAGAATGTAACAAGTGAGAATGGTTTACACATTAAATAACATAGAGCTTTTCTTAGAAAGCTTGCCATCTGAAAAAGAGGAATGTGTCTGGATGAAATTGGTTAACCATTTACAAATTGTTTGATAAAACATGCAAAAGAGAAAACAATTTTACAACATTTGCATGTGTTAGGTTTTATATACAAATGAATGTTTTGAAATGGTGCCTACAAGACATGTTTTACAATAGCAGGAAAGACTGTTTGGGAGTTTATGTTCAGCTGGTTGTTCATGTGCTAACAGTTAACAGGAAGGCCTCCCTTTTTGTGACTCCTTAAGCTGGACTGTATTTAAAAAAAGATAGGAGATTATGATATGGGAAGGAACAGATAATAATTGTACATGGTATGGGCCAGGGACAGGATGGAAGGCAGATGGATAACAAGAATTGAATAGATTCTGAAATCTTGAGGTATGCAGTAACCCTAGAATAATGAAACATGAGATATTGTAAAGAAAGGAAGGTAACTATCTAGGTAAGTCAATGTGCTAAGCTAATACAAAAGAAAAATATAAGTATGCTGAATAATGAAAGAAAGTTACCTGATCGAAGAACAATGTAGTATTTATGGAAACAGAGGAACAATTAACCAAAGTGAACAATATGACTAATGTGCAAGAGTATAAGGAGCATAGTTGCACTTATACTTGGTTGTGGAACAGATAGGAATGCAATTTTTGGATCACTGTAATCAAAATGACTGGAAGGGCCTTGTTTTCAGATACAAGGTAGCTTGAAGGTATAATATTAAATCTATTCTTATGATGTATGTAGGTTTATGCAATGACTAACTCAAACATCTCAAACCCATTCACTCCAATAGTTCCTATTGGGACTTACTTAATAGCTTTCTTTTCACTCCGGCATCGGCTGGAATCTGGAGTTCCCACAGTCTCCAAGGAGTTTTTATAACGCTTACCCTAAAATGAAATAAAAAAGATACATGGAAGATAAATATTTACTTGAAAGGAGTTATTTGGGAGTGGCCACTAAAAATATTCTTTAAGGGGAGAAAATTCTACCATAAACCTGAATGACTGAGTTCAGGGAAAGGCCACAATTGGCACACAACCCAAAGTTGGGCAAAGGCTCTCCAAGCTTCAATTGCCACTTCTCTTCAAGCAGGAGTTGTGAGTCCAGGAGAAACCCCTGGATTGTGGACCAGATCCATCTGGGGCAATGCCACTCCATTCAGAGTAAAAGAAGACGAAGTCCCAGATCCCAGATTGCTGTGTATCCAAAACTGTTTGGTCTTGCCAGAGTTTAGTCAATGCCTGTTGACCCCCATCCAGGTGCCCACAGCCTCCAGTTAGGAATAAACTCAAGACTACCTTGCCTTGAGTCTTTTTTGTATAAGAGAAAAGGAAGGAAAATCTGTCACGATTTCAAGATGTTGTTGATATCGCTCATAACAATGAGTTCCAGTAGTTCATAGGATGATTGTTTACTGACCTGGCCTACTTTGAAGGACTAACATTAACCTTCTAATATATACTAAAACTTTCTCAGTTACACACTGAAACACATTTTTTCTTTAATTTTATTGCTTCTAAACTAAGAAAGAAGTCTGCAGGAATTCACCTATAACAGTTTCCTCTGCTGGTTTTCTGGAAACTAGATTGTATCCTGTTCATTGTGAGGGATTCCATGCTGTACAGAAGAAAGGGAAGTCTCGAAGACCAAGCTTGTCTTCCCTACCCTTACATCCACAGTAGGGAAAGAACAAGCCATTTTTTGGATTAACTGAACTCTAATTAATTACGTCTGCATAACAAAACACATGCCATAAGATAATGAAGTGTGCATTTTCTTCTTAATTAGGTCTTGATTATAAGACCACTTGGTTGTGATTTCTGATGGCAGGTTCAGTGTGCTTCCTGATTCTAGGGGCAGACAAGAGACAATTATTGCTAATTAGGAAACCATTAGCAGATGAAAGCACAGGTGCAGAGGGAAAGCAGTTCTGTGCTGCTCTTTGTGCAAGTTCTCTGGTGCAAAATGAGTAATATACTTCACTTTATCTTAAGACATATCAGGCATCAAACTCAAAACATCCCCCTTCACTGGTTAGGAGGTTTGATGTCAAAGAGTAATAATTATAACATTGAAGGATGGAGCTTTCAGTGAGGGTTATGATGGACTAACATCTCAATAGGAGCTGAGAGTTGTTATGGCCAAGAATTCTTGCTGAAGGGTAGCTGCTGACCAGTGAAATCTCTCTGGGTCAAAGAGAGACTGTGAGATAACCCACTTACATCCAGATGGTTGATCCTCATGAGTAAACTGCAGAATGAAAGTTTTTGCAGTTGTTAAGGGAGTTGAACAGCTAGACATTGTTGGAGTCCATCTATACTCACAATCATTAATATACCCTTTGTGGACAAAGAGTCCAGCTACTCACATTTCTTAAACACTTTTGGAAGTCATTAATCTACAGATAAATATTTCTTTTGCAACAAAGATTTTAAAAAATTATTGCTGTTTAAAATAATGACAAAAGAAAAATCAGAAAAAAACCATAAAATACATACATTGTCAATGAAATTAAAAACACATCAAAAATGCTTAAAAAAAGGAAAAAAAGATATATAGTATATTATTTTTGCAATAAATAGTTTTTACTTTATTTTAATTCAAGGTGGCAAATATATCCAACACACCTTCCTTCTCCTATTTTCCCAACAATAACTCTGTGATATGAGTTGGGTTGAGTGACTGGCCCAAGGTCACCCAGCTTGCTTTTATGGCTAAGGCCAGACTAGAACTCACAATCTCCCACTTTTTACTTTCTATCTTAACCACTAGACCAAACTAGCTCTCTGAATGTCTTTCTTCTTAGGGCCTATGGATCTCTCAAACTACAAGAATACAGTTCCCCTCTGTGACTTATAACTTTAAAAAATACAACCAACAAATCAAAATCATAACATTAAAATACAAGACCCTGGGAATAACCTTTTCCACACAATGAGGGAGGTGTCCTACTTACCCACGTGCCTATCTAATGCAGAAGATATTTTTGCATTCTGGGGCCAGGAAGAAAGGAGACTTTTTTCTTCTTTTTATGTGCTATTTTTAGGGTAAGAACTACGCCACCATTCTGTGATTAAAAAGAATGGTTTAGATGTGTGGTGTAACATAAGTCTCTATGTAAAAAGTGAATCTTCCAAGATGCCAGGCTCCGAAAAGTTATGAACTTGGTTGAAGCTCTCCAGGAATTTGAACATCACAGCTGAGAAACAAATCTTTATTGTTGCTCAGTTTGTATCTGGGTGTTTTATCCTTGGGTTGGACAAGCTTCTGCCTTAATGTATTCTTGGGTTTGAAGTGTGCACATATGTTGAACTGGCTGAAGATCCTCCTGAGCTTTTCCAATATTCCTGAGCTTTTCTGATATATGAATTGGACAAGTTCAGGAATATCAGAAAAGTTCATGGGGATTGTCAGCCAACACAACATACGTGCACACTTCAAACCCAAGAATATACTGACAGATGCTCTTCTACCCCAAGAATAAAATATCCAGACACAAACTGAGCTAACGTGGTATATGCAGTACAATGCAGTGAGTCATGTGCAGATCTGTACATTGGAGAAACAAAACAGCCACTTCATAAACACATGGCACAACATAGGAGAAGAAACCCATCAGGACAAGATTCAGCAGTCCATCTGCATTTAAAAGACAAAGGCCACCCTTCTGAAGACAGCAAAGTCCACATTTTGGACAAAGAGGACCTCTGGTTTGAAAGAGGGGTCAATGAAACCATCTATGTCAAAATTGAACAGCCCTCTCTCAACAGAAGGGGAGGGATATAACATCATCTATCTCCAGTCTACCATACAGACCGTTCAACAGTTCCAAGAAGTCTCCACACCCATTTGCTACTCAGGTGACCCTGAGGACACAGATAAATTACCAAGTCGCCTCAATGATTCTCTAAAAGAATGAAAATGACCAGCTATCTGCAAGGAATATTAATCCTTCTATTCCCCACCATCCAATCAGAACTGAAGAAGCTTCTTGGATGAGGAGCTAAATGTCTTCAAAGAAAAACAAGGAAGTCCAGTTACCTCTTGACAAAGCACCTTTGGGACAATGTCGGGTATAGAATAAATGAACTAAAGAATGAAGACTTGATTACACCATATGACTACGCCATCCTTTTAACAGAGGAAAAATATACTATAATGAAAATGCTATTGGTGTTATTTAACATTCTCAAACATCTGCTACCACTAAAATGGCATTCAAAATGAGTGGTTTTAACTTTTATTGACTAAGAGCTATAATCACTGCCCACAACAACTAGATAGTATGCAAATGCTTCTGCTTGGATCTATTGATCTAAAAGCCAAATGTTTTGTCAGTGCTGACACTATATACAAAACTATTCAGTGAACTGCCCAATTTAGAAATTTTTAAGCACTCATTATCAAATATTAGACAGCCATGAAAACAGTGGTTCTGCAGTATGGGACTCATCATAATGTACATGTTTCTGTGATAGATATAATCAATTGGCAAATTAATGATCATAATGTGCCCCACTTATATTTTGTTTTAATTCTGCAGGTAATACTCTTTTTGAATATGAACAATGGGTACTTTTGCCTACCTAGAAAAGCCTCAGGGTTTCTAATAGGAGGGAGTGGCAGGAGAGAGAGATTAATCATACTGAAGGTGAAAAGAAGTGCAAGAGGAAAGATTAATCGTACTAAAGGAGAAAAGATGGGCGTTGAAAAAATGATTTTGATTATTAGAGCTTAAAAATAATAAGCAGAGGTTTTAGCTTAAGTGTGGTTTAAAAAAGGGACACGGTAGATGTGCCATCACGTAGACTATATAAGTAGCAGCGTTAATAAAAGAGAGATATGTAGAGCTTTTTAAAAAAAACTGAGACGAAAAACTGAGAAGAAATAATCAATGTAAGAGATAGAGAGGCATCAGGAAAGGAAAATCCCAGAAAACCATGTGGGCATTTTTAGTGAGGGCAAGTAATAGAGTCTTAAATTTGACTAGAATATTTTTTTAGCAAAGGTTTTAATAGCAAATAGTATGTGAAAAAGGATTGACTCCAAGTTGCCTAAGGAAAGGGGGAAAAACAGAGATCTTTGGGAGCAATTCAATGTTGGAAAACAAAACAGAGGGGAGAGGCAAAAATTTAAGGCAAAAAAATAGTGAAAGAGGTGTGTTAGCGATTTGGGGGATTCCAGAGGACATGAAATGAATGGAGACAATACTAAATTTTAAAAAAGGCATTGGCACTTATTCCATGTACTATAAAGATATGGCATACCTGAGATAGAGAACAGTTTGGCATCTGGTGCCAACACTCACCTTAGGAACAAAGCCAACTGAGTAACCTTGTACCAATTGCTCTTTCTCTCTCAGTCCTAGGAAGCAAGCAATGGCCAACCACTTCTTAAAATTTGATCTGAAAATAGCATCATCCAGGTGATCACCAGGAGTCAACACTGACTTAAAGCAAACTGAGGAGTTTACAACTATATGGGTTTATAGTGGATTAGTAATCTTAGCCAACTATTAAGTAATAGTTAAGATGACTAATCCCATTATGAGCCCATATTATTTTTAAAAAATACTTTATAATTTAACAGTAAGAATTGCTGGAAATAATGAGAGTTGCAGTCCAACTAGCGTGATAGTTTGGAAAGCGTGAGTTAAGGCAGTCCTTAATACAATATACGATTTTATTGAACATACTTATGTGAAAGAAATTAGATATATTTTTATCTGCAACAACCACAATGATGCCTCAACAACATTATGAATGTTGGGGTTCAGAGGAGGCTCTTTCTCTCCCTGAGGTTATAAAAAAAAATCAGCTCTCTCACACAGCTATTTTTATTTCAAAGGGATTTTCATTGTTGCAATAATGAAAGCTTCTTTGAAACT